GGGAAGCAAACACAAGTCTTTAAAAAACCAATGTATCTTGTTCTGGATTCTATAACATTACCTAAAGTAGAGGGATGGTATAGACTCTGGATCAGGTCCTTTGGTTCGATAGATAAACCAGCCTTTCTTTTGTGGTATGATGAGCTTTCTTTTGAAGCCTACTGAGGTACAAGGTCCATGGTACAGGTGGCTAATGCTTAACATTAGAAAAGTGCCAAATCTGCATTTCCAAGGCCCTTGTGGAAGTCTGAGTCCACTAACAAATGATCTAGCCAAACATTTTTACTTATAAAAAATACTATTTTAAATACCAAATTGTCTATGGTAACCATAATATTAATGCGTTTCATTTACTAGCAGCTTGCTGGGTCTTTTTTTCTCACAAAATTCTTTAAAGTTAAATGTCTAAAATTTCAGAACTTGCCTATTAGTTTTAACTCTCAAAATAAGTACTAACAAGGAGTAATCAAGGAGTAATTATTAGAAAAACTCAAAGGTGCTTATGGTAAGTGTTACAGTTCTGAGGCTTCCCTAGTGGGAGCTCTACTCCAGTTGAGGAAGGTTTCCCCAAAGTATTACAACTCTAAAGGGAAAAGTACCCTATCAATCGCGAGCCAAGAAATACCACAAAGTCACACCGCACCTCAAACCTCATACAAAGGACTTATTGAGAGAGAACTCTGTAGGGTGGCTGCCTCTGCTTGGGCAAGAAGCAGCAGAGAACAGAGCAAAAGGCAGGGTTTATATAGGGTTTCCTGGGTGAGGGGATTTCCAGGGAGGGGATTAATAAGATTTCAAGTTCAGACCTAGGGGCAAGCCAAGGGATTGATACAATTTCAAATCTTGAGTTTGGGCTTTGTACTTTATGGGGTGGGGGTTGGGTCCAGCCTTTAGGGCTGTTACTGTGTTCTATTGTGTGCAACCTGGTGGTTGGAGGTCTTCGGGGTTGTTAGGGGCTTATACTTGCCTTTTGGCAGAACTGCCTCTTCCACTGTCCCAGCAGAATCCTTCGGCAAATTCTGGATGGCCTTACTCTTCACTTATGCCCCCATGGCAACTGAAAACCCCCCCTCTGTTTTCCTGGTAGAAGCCTGCGGCAGCCGTGCTGCTATAATTCCTATGACAACTTTTACATGATTGTGTTCCTCCTTTAGATCAGGAACCGCAGGGCTCATGTTCTCCTTCTGAAATTCATGGCACTAATACCAGAAGAGAAACTCAAAGGCACATATGAAATCAAGCTAAAGACTTAAAAGACGTAATGCAGAAGGGGCCAAGTCCTTGAAAAGTAGGTTTTTTAATCCCAAGAAATACTAATTTACTCATCTTAGTTAAGGTATTGGTTGGAATACAAATTGTGTGTGTGTGTGTGTGTGTATGTGTGTGTATGTGTGTTCTTGTGTTTGTTGTTGTCTTGCATATTGTTTTATATATACATATACATATATATGTATATATATATGTATATATATATATATATATATATTTACTTTTTACTTGTGAGAACATTTAAGGTTTACTGTCTAAGCTATCTTCAAGAAGATAACTTTATTAACCCTTTATTAACTTGGGTTACCTATGTGATAGTTGTCCTGAAGTTACTCATGCCTCCTAAATATAACTCTGGTAAAGTCCTTACTACACTCCATCCACTAGCAATCATTATTCTTTACTCTGTGTTTCTATGATCTTGGCCATTTGGGGTCCCAGACATGGAGATTATGCATTATTTCGGTGTGCCCACCTAACATCATTTAACACAAAGTTCTACAAGTTCATTGACAAAGATCTCATTTAATAGTATTCTCTGGTGTGTGTGGTACATTTTCTTAATCTGAACATCTGCTGACAAACATTTAGATTGATTTTCTATCTTAGCCATTGTAAATAGTGCTGCAATGCTATTTATACATTTTTTTATATAACACAAAAACAGTCAACACAAACAAGAATATTCAATTGGGAGTATATCAAACTAAAAATTTTCTGCACAGCCAAGGAAACAATTTCTAAAAATGAAGATATGACAAATGAAACAGAATAACAGGTCTTGGTTAAGTTTTATTGTCAAGTTCACACAACCTAAAACCTGAGAAGAAAGAATCTCAATTGAATAACTGCTTGGACAGAAATGGCTAGTTCCCTTATATCCCTGTTACTTTTCTGTCAACTTCGTACAAGCTAGTCATCTGGAAAGTGGAATCTCACTTGAGAAAATGCTCCTGTAAGATCAGTCTCTAGGCAAGTGTGAGTTTTCTTGATTAATGATTGACATACGAGTTAGTTTCCAGCCCAACTGTTTGAGGGGCCACCTCTAGACAGTTCTCCCTGGGTTATATTAGAAAGCAGGTTGAACACGCCATAAAAGCACGCCAGTAAGCAGAGTTCCTCGGACTCTGCTTCTGTGTCTCCCTGCAGGTGCCTGACTGCTTGAGTTTCTGCCTTGGTTTCCTTCAGTGACTGACTGTTGTTACCTGTGGGACGCGCGTGTAATCGTCTCGCCAGCAAGAACGCACACGCACACACATCAGGATCCTTCCGTAGGAACACGTTTATTCCCAAAAACAAAATGGTGGAAGAAGACGCCAGGCCCAGGAAAAGCACTGCTTATATACCCTTAGAGCGGTGTATTCACCTCTGATTGGCTGCTTACTCGTTGCGGGCCAAAACACCGTGGGATGGGCTTTAACTTTGGCGGGCTTTTACCATGGCACATGCGCAATTTGCTTGTTTACTAGGAAGAATCCCGGAAGCCAGCGCCATGTTCCAATGGCGGATTTTGCCAGCACCCGCCGCGGCTTCCTACAGTTACCTGTCAGTATAAAGTGAACTAAACCTTTTTCTCCCCACGTTGCTTTTGGCTAGTGTTTTACCACAGCAATACAAAGCAAAGGAGAACAGTATGTGTTTAAGAGATTATCCTGATTGATGAGCGATAGGCAAAGGCCCAGCCCACCATGGGGTGGGGCCATCCCAAGGCAACTGGGCCTGGGCTGCACAGGAAAGTTGAGCATGAGCCACAGAAGGAGCTAGCAGGCTACATTTCTCTGTGGTTTCTGCTTGAGCTCCTGCTCTCACTTCCCTCAATGATGAACTTTTCCTGTAAGCATACGCTGAACTGTACCAGGTTGCTTTTGATCATGATATTTATCACAACAAAAGAAAACTAAACCAACACAATCTACTTAAGAATTAATATCCGAATGTATATGAACCTCAACTCAAGTTCAATTGAGAGAGAAAAAGCTGAATAGATGTCTATCAAAAGAGGACACACATGGACAATAGGCGGGTGGACACTGCTTTAAAAGTGTCTACTAATTAAAGATATAATAATTTAGCCACAATGGCATGTCACTTCTTGTTATTAGACAGGTTTACCCAGAAGATTTAAAAACAAGTGTTTGCGAGACTGTTGGTAAAGGGAATCTGTTGTACACTTTTAGGGAGGGTGTGAATAAGATCAACTATTATGGAAAACAGGATAGAGGTGATTTTAAAATTAAATAAAGAACGGTGGGATGACTGAGCAGTACCACTACTGGGTATATAGCCAGCTAATAAGAAATCATTAAGTCCCAAAGATGTTTGGGCTCTGCATTCGTTTGGGAGAACTCCTCCAGGGAAGACTGATGTTTCATTTGCCTGCATGTTTTTGCTCATCCGCCTATCTGCTTCGGGGAATTAATTCTTTACTTGATTTTTTTTTAACTTTATCTATTGACAGATTTGTTGCTTCATTTATTTACTCATACTATTAGAAACCATGGTCATGTAACTTACTGGTTTTCAACAACTTTTTTCATATGTAAGTATTTTTATTGTTGTCATATTTTTTAAATAATTTATGTTTTGAGGTTAGTATCATTATATCATTTCTCCTTTTCCTTTCCTCCCTCTAAACTTCCACTTACTCCTTCTGGATCTTCTTCAAATTCATGGCCTATTTTTGCATTGACAGTCTTTTTATTTTAAGCTAGAGCTGAATTTATCAAATTAATTCCAATAATAGTTACTATAGCACAGGAGATGAAGGAAAAGTCGCTTGAGTCCATTTTATGTGTGTCATGAATTATTAAAATATAATTAGTTGATTGTTTCTGACATCTTATAACTTCTGTTCCTGCAGTTTTCAAGGCTAACAACATGTAGTATTGCACCCCACAGTTACACCCTCCTGTGTATGAAAACCAAACCTGCTGTTATTTCCCTGGACACTGGGGGTCAGTAATATAACTTGTAGACTTGAAGAAGGAAGTCAGTGGAGGAGGGAATACAGGGACACAGTTGATATTTTACTACTAAACCAGCTGACTGCATCTCTAGGGGATGTGAGTGACATTGCCATTCTGGAGGTCACCTGGGAGCTAGGTAACATGACCTCTCTCTTAGATAAGGCTTTTGTTTATTTTTGTTTCCCAACACTGAGTCCTTGAGGCAAGAAGCAACAAGTTGCGAGCTGGGATGTGCTGTATCTTCTTGGGAAGGGTGGTGCTGGTGGAAGGAGGCCAGCAGACTCCTGATCACTTTCTAGATTTCAGTTGCCACTGAAAGACTCTATTTTAACAAAATAACTACACTGTAAAGAACTGGGTTTTGGGAACTGCCCAACAAATTCTCCATGTACTAGGCTCTCCGGCAAGTAAAAAGCTTGTCAGCCAAGCTCAGGATCCTTGGCGGACAGCCTGCTCGGGTCTTTCCCTTTTGTTGCCCTAAGGGCCGTGTGTTGTGAGTCAAATCACTGGGCAACCGAGTATCTTCAGCAGAGCCCGAGGCTCTCTAGCAGCTACTGTTTATCCCAAACAAAACTGGAGAAAAGGGAGACTATCTAGCAAAGGGAAGCCAATCCCAGCCTACAGAGACGACCCCTACAAGTAATTAAAAGCTCTCTAAAGACATTTCTGTTCGAACACTCAGTGTCCGAGTAGGTGCCATTGCGCCACTGCTCAGGTGAGAGCCGACAGCTCCTCCCTGCAGAATGCATAGGCTTCAAGTTAGTTTTGCAATAGAAGAGCTGTCAGTGTGAACAGGTGGAAGAGAAGTAGAAACTCTTGTCTCTTTGTTCCTGTCGCAGCAGCTGGCTCAAGCACAGGAGACAAGACAGGTGAGAAATGCTTTTCCTCGTCTCTGTTGATTTGGAAATGGGACAAAGTGTTTGAGCCGAGGGGTTTTAATGGTTTCCAGAAACCTATTAGAGTTCTTTTTCTTGCTGACTGCTTCCCCTGGGGGCCACGAAAGCTCTTTATTTTGTTTTAGTGTTGCTGTTATTGTTGTTGCTAAATCTCCAAACAAAGAAATAACTATACCTTCATATCCAGCCTCAACTGTGTATAGGGCCAGAGATGCAAGGAGCATAGTAGCTTCCAAAGAAAGTGCACCATCAGACTGGAAACTGGAGGCAGATCAGTCCTGAGATGTGTCTGGAACAAGAAGGTTTCTGCTCCAAAGAATATCCAGGACCAAAGAAAGCTGTGGTTTTCTCTATTTTGGTGTGTCTGTGTGGTTTGGTGCCCAGTGAATGTATGGTAACAGGGATAACTGAACTCAGTTCTCTTACTCCAGTGGCCCCTAAATTAAGCTCTGTGTAGAGGGGGAAGAAAGAGCGTCTACATCAAGTTCCAGACACATGTCATTCACAGTCCTGGGCTGCCGTAGGATGAACCATCAGGCATCTGGAGTAGGCTTGATTTCTGGAATGTAGTGGATCTGATTGCTTCTTGGCAGCTAGTCTTTTCCAATTATGTTTGGCTTAGTCTGATTGTCAAATTACTTTGCAATCCCCAAAGTGATCCAGGATGTCTGTAGAACGGACAGAGTCAGCTCTATCTACAAAGCTGATTACCTCTGATGGAAGGAAAGTTCTAATGAGATTTTTTTTAATGTTCTTTGAATAATCTACAACCCAGCCAAAAGGAAGGTGATGCATATTATTTCTTGGCCCTTTGTTGAACCAAAAGAGCTGAAATTAGCAAGCGTCTCTATAATGTTGGCCAATTCAGGCAGTCTTCACAGTTTTATTGTGTTCCCTCGATACAACTCAAAATGTATTGCATGCAATTTAAATAGATTTGAATAAAATTTTAAATTTTTTTCATAATAGGTGTGTAATGTGGCTCAAAGAATTTAGATTTTTTTGTATTTATTAAATCAGTAAATGAGAGGCTCCATAATTCAGTTCTTACTGAAATATGGTAACTCCGCTGTGGTAAAGTTAACATTTCCTTTTTACAAAGTATGAAGGAAATTTTTGAATAAAATCCAGCAGGCAGAATAGTGAACTTCTTCAAGAACACCAAGTGGTTTTTCTAACGGTTCCATGGAATTCATCATTTATGTGGGAATACCTTCAGCGATGATCATATGCCTCTGCCACTTATTCAACCAAGTTAAAATTAAAATGAATTTTAGCAACTTTGAAGCCCTTAAGTTAAAAAAAAAGTCTATAGGTAGCAGATATCATGAGCTAGAGAGAATATGTTTTCCAATATTATTAAGCTTTAATATTATTTAGAAATCACGAGTACAGCCCAGTCAGCAACAACCTTTCCAAATATAAACTGTATGATTTAAAGTTTGAATTATAAGTAGGTAGTATTTTTTTAAGACTCAGTATCTTAAAGTTTAAGAAACACACTTCCTCATACTCTTTTCTCCAAAAATAAAATGTGAGGATAATTAAGCAAAGACCTTGAAAACGAGCCGCTGTTTTAATAGTATCATGTTAATAAACTGAAATTATTCTCTGGAAGATGATAACAAAAATCTTCCATGATGCAATAACATGTCAAAGCTACCGCGAGGATGAGCAGATGGAAATAAACAGAGATTGACAAGTGACGCATACATGGTGCTCTCCACCAATGCTACTAAACTGATCTGTGGGCTCAGTGGTCCACATTATTCCCCTGTAGTTCTAATTTTATGTATGGTTACTATGAAGTCCCTGCATCATTTTGTCAATCCTCTCTAAAAACTATTACTTAAATTAGTTATTGCAGAGTAAATATTTTTCACTTAGTGTGTGTACATCCAACTGATAGTCATATGTCTGAGGCACTCTCTCCCACTAACAAAGTGGGTGTGGATAAATCACACAGCTGATTTCCAAGCCTCCATTATCCTGCCTGTTTCTGTATCTAACCAGGACACTGAAGGAGAACGCTACAGATGGTTTCTCTCTGACTCTTAAGAGTTCTACCTCTAGCCTTCATTTTTAAGACCAGTACACAAACTAGGTTTCACAAACTGTTTTCTTTTCTTATTGGTGATAAATTTCAACATATAAAATTAAGAAACAGAAAAATGACAAAGCTCACATGTATGCCTGAAGTAGGATTGCATCAAAAGCAATCTAGTTGTGCCAAACAGAATTCCCAGGAAAAGTCTGAAGAGGGAAACTTCAGCAGGTAATTAAGAAGGGAACACACACAAGGTAACACTGTGGAGTAAAATGAAAACTCCATCAGATAAGAGGCTGCCAAGACCCAAGGGCCGTTTTACCAGCCAGGCAGAACTGCTCTTTCTCACCACACCCAAAATGATGTTTCATAAGCTAATAATTCCTTTAAAAAGACAAAATAACAATAAGCATAAAACAAATATTTTCACTTTCCAAGTGGGGTGTCTACTGTTTTCCTTTCCTTCAGGAAAGCATAAAATGTGTCACTTAGGTACATTTCCACAATACCTCATTAAGTCCAATTGTAAATTGGGTGAGTTAGAAATGGAGGTCAACAAATCCAAAGTGTGTAAGGAGTTGGTGACTTTTTAGGATGTTTTCTTTTCAATATTTATGATCATTGATGGCCTTTTCTCTTTTTTCTATTTAACCCAGTAAAAACTTGACGTTAGCAAAGCAAAGTTAAAGTCGAGAACAAGTGTCCATTTCCCCTTATCTCTGTTTAAATTGTCATTTACATTCACTGGGAAGCTAAGAAAGAAACTATGAAGAGTAGCCATGCCCCAGCAAGTTCCTACATAGACATTCAAATTATTCTATTTAAAGGAAACCTAAGTCTCTTCCAGTGCTCCCCAGGTAGCCTCCATTTTGCACAGTACTGTTGTCTGGGGCTCTTCTCTCCCCAGGTTATGTCCTATTTAACCAGATGGGTTCCGGGGAAAACCTCTTCAATCCAGATGATCTAAGTAGAGGAGAAGGAAAAAGAATTTAGAAAGAGGTAAATGAAAATCTCAAAATAGGCTGGAAGGAGATAACTGTGCCTTGGGCCAGATGTCTATAGGTATAATCACATCTCCAGTGGGTTTTCTGCTTTTGTTGAAGTTGACAGCAGGGCACAATGCCATTTTTAAGTACAGAAGCCATGTTTATCATGTTGGAAAAATCTGCCATACATAAGTATCCATCAAGTAACAATGTTTTAAGTGCCAAGTAGGAATACCTAGCATTTCAACCAGAAATTTTTAAACAGAAGCTCCAGACAGGATTTAGCACATCAGCTTACTGATCTATTTGAGGACAAGAGTTACATCCCAGGACATCAGACAACTCACAAAATACCTGTAGCTCCAGCTCCAGGGGATCTAAGACTCCATTCTGGCTTCCATGGTATTTATACATACACATACATAAAAATAAATCATTTTAAATAAGGATAATAATAAACATATGATAGAGATGAACTGAGATTAGAATACATGCCAGTACACATGAAACCTAGATGATAAAACAAAATGAGAAAATTTTTGTTTCATTCTTAAGGCAGATTCCACTATCATGCAAGAGGGGCCAACCTTTTGCTATGTGACATGACATTTCAATCTGCTGGTTGTTTGCCAACTTAACACAAGCTAGCATCACCTGGGAAGATAGAACTTCAGTAGACAAAAATGCCTGTAGGCAAGTCAATGAAGCATTTTCTTGATTACTCATTGATGTAGGAGGGCCCAGCCTACCTAGGCAGGAAGTCCTGTGTTATATTATTAAAAGGTATCCTGAGAAAGTCATGGAGAACAAGCCACTAATCAGTGTTCTCCCATTGCTTTTGCTTCAGTTCCTGCCTCTGGGTTCCAGTATTCCCTGACTTCTCTTCATGATGGACTAATATGATAAAATAAACTTCTCTTTTTGATTCTCTGTTTCACAAGGTCTAAACACTTGAGGCAAGGCAGCTTGTCCCATCAGGGGTATAGGTAAGCAATGGTGAGTCAGGAACATAGTCCAATACAGCTTCCAAGTCCCCATTGTCAGGGCACTCAGCAAGCTCACAGGTCAGCATCATTGTTTGTCCTGGCATCAGCATGTCTCACCAGTCGCTCTGGCAGCCACCATGCTCCTTCAGCATCCTGCAGAAAAACAAACATGCCCTCTTACTCATATTAAATACCTGATCGGGATCATGTCTTATTCCAGTAAATGGATCCCTCCCTTTCACCTATGCATAAGTATGACTAGTTGTAGAGTGCCATAGACACTCAGCACTACAATTCTGAGTGTGTTAGAGCTCCTGGGAGTTCAGCCTTCTCTGGGTTTGGGGGGATTGGGTACAGAGCTGACTCCCTAGGACTGCTCCGGGCACAGCTTTTAAAGGACTTTGATATTTTTATATTCTTGTGAGAAAATATGCTGTACAAGTAAAAAGTAAATACTAAAACAGAAATAATATGGTACTATTAAGTATCTAAGTCACATTACCCTTTAAGCAAATTAACTGCATTAGTATTCCTTAGGTGGTAATTGTGAATCATGGAAGCAATTTCTGTTTCAAAAGCCAGGTGCCTCTGTCATTGCTTAAAACAGCAGAGACTGGGGCTGAAGCTCAACAATAGATTACCTGCCTCATGTATGTAAAGCCCTGGACTCAGTCTTCAGCGCCGAAACACCAAAACAGAGAGGCAACTGTTACATTTCCTATTTGCATAGCGGTTTTCCCACAGTGTTTATGCAGACATGATTATATGAATGTGTGTGCCATTGTTTCTTATTTTATAATCTAAAATTTCTGCTAAAAGAACAAGAAGTTCTCTTGATTTGGATTCGATGTGGCATTTTTTATCTTCCAGCTAGTCGCTGTGCTTCTGTTTACAACATGTGAAATACTCTAATCAGAACAAAGGTCCCAGCATCGGTCGAACTGTAAGCTCATACTGCTGAGTGGTAGGCAGAGGCCAGAGTCCACTTGTAGAGGTCAGGCTCAGGTACAGTCCGCCAGTTTATTACTTTTAACACTGACTTGTCATAGCAGGTAGCTGGTAGGATTTATCACCAAAGACCAAAAATATGCACGGCACCATCCTAAAGGCAGAAGCAGTGGATGGGGCTCATCTGCTGCAGATCTTTTGGCACGATGGAGCAGAGTCCCTCTACCCAGCGGTATGGCTGAGAGACAACTGTCAGTGTTCAGACTGCTACCTACATTCTGCAAAAGCTCGGAAACTTCTCTTGGAAGCTCTTGATGTGAACATTAGAATCGACGACTTGACATTTGACCAAAAAAAGGTAAAAATGATCTTTCCCTTCTCTGTTGAGTTAAATCAAAGGGTTAGTGGGGTTAGTCTATAGAAACGCAAATAACTCTTCTTTAATGTGTCATATATAAAACAAACCTTCTCCATGGGTATGTTTGTACAGTGTTCGGTAGACATATTCAGTGGAAGAATCTGCTGTTGTTTTCACTACTACTATATCCTTCTCTCCTTTTTCTTTTTAATAGATCTTTTTATTTTAACTGAAATTTAATCACATCACTTTTTCCTTCCTCCAACCCCTTCGATATTCTCCTCACTCCCTCTCAAACTGGTGGTCTGTATTGTTACATATACATAAATAAATATATAAATGTAGCCTGCTGATAGTCTCTGGTTTCTCTTCAGAGTATATCTTTTTTTTTTTTGCCTTTTAAAACTACTACCATTTTAATAAAATAAGCAAACTTTGCTTTTTTATTCTTTTAGGGGGAAGCGGCCTTGAAACACAATCAGGCAATTGATAGCATGAAAAATGGAGCATCTGACACTCAGTTGACTGCTCTATCAAGCTAGGAAAGTACAGAATTTGTTCATAGAAATGTCAGGGGTCAAGGAGATAATCTGGGTGGAAATATTTATCCTACTGCCTGACATACAGCACTCACTCAGAAATCTTACTGATTAGTACTATTTATCCAAACTGCTGAGTAGGTGCATAAGAAATCATATCCTAAAATCATCAATCTCAATGTCAACCACATGGGCTATCGAACTTCTCTATTTCTTATTCTCAAATCCTCACCAAAAGGACAAACGTGATAGAAAACCTGTCTTTCCCCATTCTTCTGTCCTCTCAGCTTGCTTCTCTAGTCTCAATTCTCACTCTTAGTAGTCACACCTTCTCAGAGGAAGTTTGAGTATTACATATCTAGCTTATGTAAAGCAGAGGTACCATGTTAGTAAAAGTATATTTCTAATCACTCTAATTCAGTAGCATTCAAAAGAAAAGCAATTGCAGAAGACAGAAACATACAGCTGAGCAACATGCAAATGGATGATAACGGTCTGTTATTGGTCTTATTTCTCTCTTATAAGGTTTATATAACATGGCCCAATGACCATTACAGTGAATTCGAAGCTAATTGGCTGAAGAAAAGATGCTTTTCTCAACAGGCCAGAGCAAGACTCCAAGGAGAACTGTTTTTACCAGGTAACATTACAATGGTCTTCAGTCTGCACTAAAAACTTATAGTGAAGATTGATTGAAGGGAATACTATTATTTGAATTGACTGTATTTCCGTGACATGGTTTATTGAGTTAAAAATTATATATTGCAAGATGATCAAATCAATGTAATCAATATCTCTTTCTCATTTTCTAAGGATGTGCTCAAGAGCAAACTCAATCCCTTCTATCTTGGTTAAAATAATATTGTCCTTTGTGAGAAATGCTTAAGCTGTTAGCAACACAGATCATTTTGTCAAAACTGAAATGGAGACCAGCACAGATGTTGATATTCTAAAACACTGGCAGAGAAAGATACAGCAGGCTTGAGCCTGTGTCATCTGAAGTAAAAGCTGGGAGTCCAAGATGTTCCCTCCACACTCTCTGCAAAGGAGTAGCATCCACCAGAGATAGTTTACCCTCATTAATAATATCTAACATCAGAACAGAACAAAGCACAAATTCCTATGTGGATATCCATGAGATCATGTGAGCAATGAAGCTATGAAACTAGGAGCACAGAATTGAGCTCGCACTTAGGGCTAGTGCAAGCCCCTTTCTCGAGCATTTGTATGGGTCTCCAGAGGTTCTATGAACAGAAAAATCTTTAGAGGTAACTAAAAGATGAATTCAGTGGCAAGGTGGGATGATAACATCTCTCAGATAATAGGCAAAATAAATGGGCAATTAAAAATAAAAGTTCTAAAAAAATACAATAATACAGGCAAGTATAAGCATTTGTGAGGGTGGGAAGGGCTCTGATTTACTCTATGCTGTTCTACAGATTACTTATGATTATATGTTCTACAGATTACAATTGATGGTGTGGTCAAAGACAAACTCTACCACACATGAATTTTGCCTGCTGATTAGAATCTTGACTCACACAAGCCAGGCACATTTCTTGAACCTCCTTTTCAACTGTCAACCCCATCTATCAGCCGACTACCCCCTTCAGGAAGTGGCTACTTGGCTAATCCCCTGCCACCTCTCTCAGGAACTCTGAGTCATATACTAAATAAGGTTCTACTTTACTCCTTCCAAACCTGTAACTCCCTCATGTGTAAACTAAACTGTCTGGGATTTTAAAACTAGTCTTCCAGCAGTTCACTAGAGGTGAAGATGTTACTTAGTAATCAACTTACTGGGCAGCTTTCCTGTGGATATCAATCACAAGGTACCAGAGTTTCCCCTTCTCTTTAAGTGCAGGCCAGTCTTGTCAAAAATTCAATTCCTCTAATGTGTGGAGTCACCACTGTGACAGCTGATAAGGATTTGTTCCATGGCTGTGTTTGAGTCCCTTTTCTATTCCTGCTAGGTGGTTGGAAATAGATAAGTATATAGGAAAACCATTCATCCACATTCCTTTATAGAATATGTTTCTTAATTCTTTGAGAGGGGTAGTCTACAATAACTTAATTTCATAGCCATTATCTGGGTCAAATAGTAGTATCTTGAATTTTTTAATTTTAGATTTCTTCTGGTATTCAGGATTTTTTTTCTTTAACTCTGCCCTAGTTTTGCAATCCATTTGGATTTTGCTCTCATTGCCTCTAAGTTCTTCTCTGTGTCATTTCAGGAAGTAAAAGTCAACATTTTTATTATCACAGCTTAAGCTTTTAAATGCTAAAGGAGGAACAGCCACACCTCCTCCATTAATATTTCCTGACAAGTGAAGCTTTTTCATTTTTATAGCCTACATTCCTCAGTACTATCAGGCAGTAGCAAAATGGAAACGATAGTATACTCCATTGAGTAGTGGAAAAACCTGGTCACAATGACGGACTGCAAACATGAGTAACAGAAGAACTGGCTGCTAGGTAGACACAGGAAAGTATTTTAATGCTTTCAAACAAGGTTCATTTTTAAATATATTTCCAAGCTGTGCAGTTGATGGGCAAAAGAAGAAATTGTGCAATGTTTAGAGTATTGGTTGAATGATTTTTTTTCCTATAGAATTTGATACCCGGGTTCAATGAGAGTTTTCAAGTATTAGTTCTCTAAAGCCTGTAAACAAAGTGAGTTCCACTGGTGAAAGCTCTTTGCATTTTTAGCCCCAGTAGTGATCTTCCTCCTCTGCTTCTCTCATGAAATGAGGGCTACAGGGCTTAGAAAATCTGGAGTCCAGATGCACACCACTTTCCTTCTCTTGGCACAGACTGCTAAACACAAAATGAAAAGATAAATGACAATCAGCTGTGTACAGGACCAGACTGTCCCTCAGAGCTGAAAGGAAGATGTGGAGAATATCATTCCTCTCATGCATGTCCATTCAGCAGCATGGAGATCTGGCATCTATTTTGTGCAGAGAACTACGTAAGGAAATACCAAGGTGAAAAAGAAGGCCAGGACATGTAATATATTAAGTACATTGAGGCCATGTGCTGAAGACTGATGATGATGTAGAGCAAAGAATATGAAGAAATGAGAGGTTGATACCCACACTGAGCCTTAAGGAATAGTTTGTCAGGAAGAGATAGAATGAAGGAAATCCCCACAGAGAGAAGGACATGCAGGGAAACCACAGAAGTGGAAAATAAAAGGTTGAATTTCAGAAAGTACAGTAAGCTAGATATTGGGAGGTTAAAATTGCTAAGCAACAGAGGAGACTCAAAGGCCAAAGTAAGAAATAGTTTGCATATACTGCCTGGTAGACTACAGGCAAGGATGAGGGGTTTTTTTCAACATAGAGTTTCAGTATCCCTCGGTTTATTCTCTATTGGCAAACCAAAAGAAAAAGTTCAGAACCTTTACAGGCTTGGGATCATTGCTATAAGTTTTTCCTCTGCATTGTATATTTTTGGGGTTTTCTGGCTGATTTTGATTGAATTAATATATTATTGTAAATGCCTCCAAATCCATGAACACCTCCTACATACCCTTTGAATTTTCTTTTATTGTAACCTGCCTCCTCTACAAAGAGAAGTAGAAAGGTCAAATTTATCTTGTAGAATGGCCTTGGTCATAGATGTGTTGAGTCTCTATTGAGTGGACCATATGGGAAGGGAGTCCCTACTAAGTGGGTCATATGGGAAGGGAGGGGAAAAGAGATGGCCATAAGATGCTCTATAAAAAATTGTATGGAAGACAATGGGAGCTTATGAGTCAGAGAAGATGGGGATAGAATTTGCATTTAAGAAAAACATATTATTTCTTAGTAGGATAATAGACAGCAGATCATATTCTCTAATCTCTGTCATTTTTAAAACTTGACTTTCAGTGCCTGGGATATGGCTTTCCCAGAAAAATAAATGACAAATTTTTAAACAAAGTTTAATATTTATTAACATAAAGTTTGGGCCAGCAAGATAGATCAGTGGATAAAAGCACTTGTTTCAAGATCTGAGTGCAGTCCACAGAAACCAGATGAAGGTGGAAGAAAAATCTGAGCCCACAAGTTGTCCTTTCACCTCCTCCACAGGGGTGCTGTGCTATACATATTAACATACACACTGTATGCACAGACAATATTAATAAATTTAACTTTTAACTTTTCTTGAATAAAATGTGATGTTTTTATATAATCATAACTTACAAGTGAAATTTTGCATAATTATACACTCATTTTTATTTTGTGGATTGTAAAATTTTCAATTGACTGAGATAAAATGGAAAAAAATTGCATAATACAAGCATATATAGGAACCTAGTATTTCTTATTTTTATAATTTCAACGTGAATGAATCCTTGCTTTTTCTATCTCTTTGTTGCTAAAATATTTTTACATTACTCTTTGAATTTAGTGACTTTGTTATTAAAAACTGATTTTTTTAAAAAAAATGAGAGAATATAAAGAAACTCTAGCCATTGAGCTATGAAAACTGAGAACATTGCACACCCAAAATAATTTACTCTCAACTACATGTGCCCCTTTTATCGCAGAACCTTTCTTTGCCATGCACTTCATCAGATTGTGACTTCTCTGCCCATAGCTAGAATCCCCACTTTGTTTGCAAACCACATGCCTCAAGAAGTGAAAACTCACAGGGAACTGTGAGAGTCTCACAAATCTACTTGCCTTTCATATAGAAAGAGAGTTGTACAGAACTGGTTTTCTCAAGGAGACCTGTGTGTTTACTCAACTTTCTTATAATGCTGGAAAGGTAGTTTAGTGCAGAGAAGATATTTACAAACCCTTGTCAAAAGGCAAGAAGCATGTATGTGTGATTTTCTTTTTCATTAGCAAAAAATGGTCATAGTACAGTTGCCTAATTCATGTGATACAAGCCAAAACCATTCTTGAGCAGACGTGAGAGTCTGTGATGAAATATAGGTATTTGAACCATTGAATTTGCTTCATCATCAAAATAAGACATGATGGCCACATCTTACCAGATCTACTATCAACCCTATGTGAACTCTACTGCCACGGTATTTCCTTCTTCCTGTACCTCACCTCCCACTCTCAGGCTTCTCTTTTATCACCTTGTGTTTAAGCACTTACCATATGAATCACAGAGATTGTTTATTAAGTATTGACCTATTTAATCTGAGCAATAAATGAGGTCATTAGAAATTTAAAACTAGTTCAAAGAGTAACAATGAGCAACAGAGCCAAGAGCTAACCTAAGACTATCTGCATTAATGAACACCTTCCTCCTCTTTCTGTGCCCACTGTGATCCACGTGTGTGCACCCATCTGCCACTACAAATGTTGCCTTGACTGGTCATTATCTACTCCACTAGATAATTAAACCCTGATAAATAACCATTTTGGTCACAGACTTAGCTAATTGAGTATCTACCACGCACTGGACATTTATTCATTCATTCATTCATTCATTCATTCATTCATTCATTCTCCTGATGCGTGACTATTGAATAACAGCCACCATATACTGGGGTTGAAAATGCAATAGAGAGAAAAGCAGGAAAAGAATTTAAGCCCTTAGAAGTTATTGTGGTGAAAGAGGTCCCAAAAATGTACTGACTTACCTGCAGTCCCTCAAAGAGTGATAAACACACAAACACAAGCAAGTTGGTGA